GGCAACTCAGCTCCCGCGCGCCTGCCGCTGGCCGCTTCCTCCGCCTCCCCCGCCCCGCCCTTCTCCGATACCTCGGCTGGGCCTGCGGGCGGCCTTGGGTGGGGGGATCCAGAAGGTTTCTGGAGGCTAAGAATCCCCCCGCCTCTCACCCTTCTGAACCTCTTCTGTCTCCAAAGGTAAGTGGACACTTCCTCTCCCCGCTTTCCCAGACCAGCCAACCTCGCCGTTGGTAGTACATCTGCCACCCCCGCCAGACTCCTGGGCTGGTTGTTCCCACCCTAATCCGCTACTGGCCCCTTCCTTGAACCCGGACTGGGGCCCTGGGTTTGGAAAGCAGCCTGGGTAGCTGTGCAGAGCAGACCCCAAGCAGATCTCATCCCCTCCGCAGAGCTGGGCCTGGCCAGAGGACGTCGTCACAGCCAGAGGACTAGGCTGAGGGACGAGGACGCTCGGGGTAGTCCTCACTCCCTACCCAGTTTAGAGATCCGCAGAGACCAGCCCTGGTCTCGGTTATGCTGCAGGCGGCTGTGGGTGTGGCGTTTGATGAGTTTTTTTTTTTTTTTTTTTTAACTTGGTTCCCACACCTTTCCTGACACTCAGTAGTTCACTAGGTGGAGGAGATCCTCTGCTGGTGGAGGGGGAAAATGTCAGAGCTGCGGCAGTCTTTAACTGTTAGCGCGCCACCGAAAGGACAGAGAAAATGGGGGAAGATGGTCCATTTAGGGATGCTGAAGTAGGGGGTAGAGATGGTCTCCCAGATGTGCTGGCCTGGGGGCTCTCACCCCCACCCATTTTCTGAATGGCAGTTGGGCTGGGGTCTTTTGGTGGGAGTGGGCCAGAAGAGCCAGCAAGCCGGAGGATTGGGCGAGGTAAGGACTCTGCTGGCCCCAGGCTACTTGCTGTGCCTAAAAGCCTGGCTGGGATCCCTCACCCAGCATTCCTGTAAGTCCACCTCCTCCTGGCTGCAGATCCCTAGAAAGCAGTATCTGGGGAAGGGGTTTCCCAATCTGCTCCTAAGGTCCTGGGCACCCCCAGGGAGGACTGGAAGCCAGGTGGGCTCCAGCCTTTGAAGGAGCCATGAAGTGATGAAAGAGGAGACTGAGCCCCCTGTCCCTAACCCCCAGTCTTGTCTGCACCCAACGAAGATCTGGTTCCAAGACTGAGATGCCCCAAAGGGGTGAAATAGAGAGGGCTGAGGGGTCGGGCTGGGGGCACAGGCCCTCCCAGCCGCTTTTCGACTTCCCTCTCCACCCCGCCCCCAACTCCTGCTCACAACTCTTCTGGGGCCCAGGCCCTGCCTAATTTGCATATGCGGCTGAACCGCTTTCTGCAAACTAGACAGTGACCTTGAACTGGGCCGCTGTGGTCTCCCGACCGACCAGGGAGAAGACAGCACCGTGCGGAATAATTCCGGACTCGAGTGGGCGGGGGAGCCGGAACGCAGTCTCTCCCAGCCGATTCCTGGCGGCTCTAAGCCGCCTGCACGAAGCCGCTTTGCCCCTGCCGCCAGAGCCGGCGTTGATTTTATAATTAACTCCTTCCCCCGGCTCAGCCGCAGTAGAGGCGGTGAGGATGCGGGAGGAATGGTGGCACAGATAGAATGTGGCACTCACAGAGAAGGTGTGAGAGAGGATGCTGCATCCAGCTGGTGTATGTGCTGAAGGACGCGGGGGCTGCACTGGGTCTTCAGGGAAAGCCTTGGACCGCATCCTTGTCTTCAGCTTTAATTAACCCCCGAGTTAATGAGCGGGCATAGTTGAGCCTGGCCAGCTGCGGCGGGAGCCAGTGGCTCAGGGGCCAGCCGGCAGGCTACCCATTCTAGCCTTGTGATTTGATGAACGTGTGTGAGTTCGGACACCCCAATAGCTCCGGGGTTCCGGAGCCTCAGCCTGACCAACTGTAGGTTTGCATGAGGGCAGCGAGGGGCCGGCAGATTAAACGCCGCTAGATACGGCTAGACACCGCTAGACACCGCTGCCCAACGCTGTGGGCTGCGACACCCCTCCCAGTCTCCTCCCCAGGCCTAGCCCGCTCCAGACGAGCAGCTCTCGTTGAGGCTGGATTTAGGGTTGAAGCTTCGCACCCGAGCCTCCCGCTGGCCCCGGGGACCCAGGTTGGAACCGGCGTTTAAGTCCCAGCCCGGTTTAAAAAGGGGTGCTTGAGCCGCGTGTGCGGCTGGGGGGGGTTCCTTAACTCCGAATAGAGCCTCGCTGGTGTACAGGGAGGCGGACGCTCAGATTGCCTGGGTCCTCGACAGGGTCCTGAAAACCCCTAGGTTCACAGTGGGCCTCCGGTAGCAGGACACCGGGAATGCGAATTTTGCTAGTGGTTCTCAGCAGCTTTCCAGGAGAGGAATTAGGATCGGCGCACTGGAGGAAGAGAGGTTTGTGCGTGCCTCTGTGCCCACAAAGTCCAAAACCGGGGGAAAACAGCCTGTTTTGATGGGACCAAATCCGGCTGGGAGAAACGTGTGTCTGGAAGAAGGACGCCCTCACTCAATCTTCATTTCTCTGACGTTGCATCTGCCGCCCTGTGGCCGCTGCTCCACGCGCTCAGCGCTGGCCAGGGAGGGCAGGGAACAGAGCTCCTGGCCCTGGATTTGCGAGCTGGGGAGGCTTGGGGAGATACTGAGACCTTCCTCCTGGGGTCCCTCTTCTAGGAGATTGGAGTCATCTGGGAAGGGAAAAGAGAATGGGGAGAAGACGCCACCCCACAAGGGACAGTCATTATTCGGCAAAACCCAGCTCGGCATCCCTCACGCCAACAATAGCGGCTGAGCGCCGAGGCCTATAGAGCCCGGGTGGAGACCTCGCTGCCAGCGCAGTGTTCTGATTGAAATCAGCAGCAATGTTAAAGTCACACCCTGTTTATATTTATGACCAAAATAAGCCCCAAATAAAATTTTAAAAACTAAAATTTTCAGTGGCGCTAATGCGTCTTGAAAAGGAGATATACGATGTTAGAGATGCTCTGACATAGAATTTGCAGCTGAGGGATGCTCCTCTCCACGGCCTCGCAGCCCCTTATCAATTAGGCACAAAAAGGCCAAGTCTTCTGCCCATTCCTCGGTGCCTGTGGCTCTCGGGCTCTAACTGGAGGTGACTGATCAGGGCTGGCATCCCGCCGCTGGGCCTGGGTTCGGGCGTGTGGGCCCTATGCGGGCGGGCTCCTGGGGCGGGAGGGGCCGGGCAGCCTGACCAGCCAGGGCGGGGAAGGGGAACCGGCCAAGCAGGGTGAGGGGCGGGCGCCGAGCGTGGAGCTTCGAGCAGCTCGGGGCAAGGCGGCGCCCGCGGGGGACACATTTCTGTCGGAGTGAGCAGCTATAGTTTGGGATATGAAATCGTCCAGGGAGCGGTGGAATTCGAAGAATCTGCGTTTCTCTCTGCCGAGTCCTGCATAGTAGAGAGGGGAGGAGAGAGAAAAGGAGGGAGAATCTTCTCTGCTTCCGTCTGCTTTTGTAGCTTTGGCTCTTTCTCAAATATTTAACTTTCACCTACATGGATTTCTTTTTCTAGTATTCTCTCAGACTCTCAGTCTCTCCATTTTTTTCCCTAAACCTTCTGGTATTTTTAGGTATTTAGACGTTTGCCGACCTATTTATCCAACCCTGTATTACTCAAGCCATGGATTGGTTTGGAGCTCGAAATATTCACAAAGAAATTCGAGTGTTTTCTCTACTAGACCTCAATAGGTTGCATCTGGTTTGGGGGAGTTTTATCTCGTTTCTCTTTTTAATCTGCTTGGTGTGTTCTGTGGACCTAGTTGAGATTGGATTGCGGTTTTGTAGATGATTGCAGATTATTTTGCCAATGGCCAGCTCTGGGCTCTCAGCCTTCTCTGGAAGGAGATTTTGAGGTTTGCACCATAAATATAATTTTAAACCCCCAAGAGAATTCTCCAGGAGTTCTTTCCCTCACTCCCAGCCCACCTCAGGAGGCAACCTACTGCTGGCCTCTGCACTGCTATCTGATGGGCCCAGCAGCAGGCTGGGCCGGTTCTGGGCTGTGGGTATCTCCTCTGCAGTGGGAATTGGGCCCTTATCAGCCGGTCCAGCCCTGTGGGGGCTCCAAAGCCTCCTGCTGCAAAGACTCCAGAAGACCCCCCCCAAAGCTCCGCGGTCCCCTGGAAGTGACAGTGGAAGAATAGTTCAAGTCTCCAGATTTTCAAGAAAAGGCAGGCAGATCCATGCATAGCTGGTGCCTCCTTTTTCTGCTTTCTCTGCTCCCCTCCGCGTCCTTCCTTTAACGGTTAATGGAGGTGTGAAACTGAGGGTCTCCTGGCTCCGGCGGAAAGACCTCAGATTATCAATTCTCTCTGAGTCTTTTTTGGGGAAGAGGACCCCAAATATCTCTACGAATTCCTGAGGAGAAAGCGCAGATGAAGATGAGTGCAGCAGCTGCAGGGCTGGGAGAGATATGAGCAGGGAAACCTGTCCTAACCCTCACTTCTTCTCCTCTACTGTAAATAAACCCCGAGCCAAAGGGCTCATCCGTCTCCTTAAACAGCCAGTAAACTTTATATGACACAATATCTAATAGTAATTTATTGGGGAGATATTGTAAATTCCAACGGTTTTAGTTAATAAAGGAGCTAATTAAAGAGGGATGGGCTGTGCTCGGCCAGCTGTTGGCGATAAGATAATACATCTGGGGGGGTGCTGGGTGCAGGGGTGCATATGTGTGAGTATTTTTGGTGTGGCTTTTTTCCTCTTGCCCCATGTTGGACAATTGCTTTACTTTGCGTTAGGTTTTATATGATTTTTTAAAAAATCATATAGCGAATAAACCTGCCCCCACCCTTTGTTGCCCCCCATCCCCCCATTGGGGATGGGGTAAGTTGGAGTTAGTGCAGGGTGGGGTAGGGGATCTGCTGTCCCCACCCCTCCCCCCTGGCGGCGGAGCCCACGTGAGCCGGGCGGCCAATGGGTAGCTGGTGCAGGTTTAACTATGTTTAATGTCAGATAGCAATAAAGTAGAAGCTGCCGGTCGGGCCCCGCGGAAATGGGCGAGCATAATCTCCTGAATCCCGGGTTTGTGGGGCCGCTGGTAAACATCCACACAGGAGACACCTTCTACTTCCCTAACTTCCGCGCGTCCGGGGCGCAGCTGCCCGGGCTGCCTTCGCTGTCCTACCCACGCCGCGACAACGTGTGCTCGCTGCCCTGGCCGTCGGCGGAGCCGTGCAATGGCTACCCGCAGCCCTATCTCGGCAGCCCAGTGTCGCTCAACTCTCCTTTCGGCCGCACGTGCGAGCTGGCGCGCGTGGAGGACAGCAAGGGTTACTACCGCGAGCCGTGCGCTGAGGGCGGCGGCGGGGGCCTGAAGCGTGAGGAGCGCGGGCGCGATCCGGGAGCCGGGCCCGGGGCAGCGCTGCTGCCGCTGGAGCCGTCGGGGCCGCCTGCGCTCGGCTTCAAGTACGACTACGCGGTGGGCGTCGGCGGCGGCGGCGAAGCCGGCGCAGGAGCCCCGCACGACCCACCCTCCTGCCAATCGCTGGAATCCGACTCCAGTTCATCCCTGCTCAACGAGGGCAACAAGGGCGCCGGCGCGGGCGACCCCAGCAGTTTGGTATCGCCGTTGAACCCCAGCGGCGGGCTCTCCGCCAGCGGTAAGGACCCTGGCCCACTCGTGCAGGTTATTCAGACCCGACATCCTACCAGGGAGGGCCGGGTTGGACTGAGTTAGGCTGCCTGGGGTGACAGAATGTGTAGTGAGGAAGCGCTTCTTTTAAAATGAAGTGCGGGTGGGGGGAGCCCTATAAACATGTAAATATCCCCATAAAAGAACTTGGGAGATTTCCTTTTTCCTCCGCCTGTGGCTGGAGGGAGTAGGGAGAAGGGGGATCTTGACCGGGCCTTCTCAGGCCTGGGGGTGACTGAGAGCCTTGTCCTTGCTCTCCCACATGCAAGGGAGATCAACATTTTTTATTTTAAGAAGTGCCAGTGGGTACCGGTTTACTCTTCACTACTTCCCCATGTCTGTTCTGACTGATCGAGGATCCATCCAGTCCTGGAGGATATGAGAGGAAGGGGCCAGGGAATAAGGAAGAAGAAAATTGGGAAGAGGTTTGGGGGGAAGCATGGGGACAGGAACATAGATGAGTCATGGATACTGCAGCAGGAGATGGGGTTGAGGAGGCTAAGGCAAGGAGTGAAAGGGAAAAGAAGAATGAAGGTGGAAGAGTTGATGGGGATGGGGGTCTGGATAGAGGAGGGTCTGGGTAGAAGAGGCTAGTTGGGATGCCTGGCCGCAAGGAGAAGGTAGAGGAAGAGCCTGGGATCCGGGCATGAGGCCAAAGTGAAAAGGTCTGGGAAGGGCCAAGGGTACTGGACTGGTCACCACTTGATCCTCTGGCCAACCCTGCGGTTCATCTCCACCCAGGCGCGCCCTGGTACCCGATCCACAGCCGTTCGCGGAAGAAGCGCAAGCCCTATTCGAAGTTGCAGCTGGCGGAGCTGGAGGGCGAGTTTCTGGTCAACGAGTTCATCACACGCCAGCGCCGGAGAGAACTCTCAGACCGCTTGAATCTTAGTGACCAGCAGGTCAAGATCTGGTTTCAGAACCGGAGGATGAAAAAGAAAAGACTTCTATTGAGGGAGCAAGCGCTCTCCTTCTTTTAGGGAGCGGGATACGGGTGCCATCCCCAGACTTAGCCTGTCCCTGGCAGAGAGCAAGAGGGGGCGCCGCCTAGGACACAGTCCCCGCTTAGAAATCCAGGCGTCTCTGGCAGGCCCTCCCTGGACGTCGTCTTGTCTGTTTTGTTCGTGATTCCCTCCCAACACACCCCCAGAAGCCCCTGCCAGGTCCCAGAAAGAAGGAAAGAAACCCAGTCAGAGAGAGCGAAGCCCACAGCTGTGGGCGGGTGGCAGGGGCAGGGAAGGCGGAGGCGCCGAAGAGGGGCTGGTTTATTTAAGGCGTTGCGCCTCCAGCTGCGGATCTGGAGAAGCGGCAGCCCAGACATACCCTCCCTCCATTTCCCTTCGGTGGTCTTAAGTCTCTTTCCCTGCGGGAGCAGATGAGCGTGGGGACAGTGGAACCAAGGTGCCCCAAACTCACAGTTGGTGGGGTTAGGAGAGTCTGGGAGGAGGGAGCAAGAGTGGAGGATCAGCGGAGAGAGCAGAAGGGGTCAGGGTAGCTCCAGCAGGGCTGGAGGAAGTGGGAGAACCAAGGGGGAACTGCGGTTTAGAGAAAAGCATGATCAGGAAGGCCCATAGTCCGCTGGGGTCTGGGTTCTCCAGGACACCGAGAGGGCTGAAGCTCGGGCGTTTGGCAGACTGGGCTGCGGACAAGGACCATCAGCCTCATGTCCCCTCTCGGACAGGTTACTACAAAGGTCTCTTGGTCCCCAGCCCTCTCCCACTCCCTGCCCGCCCCGGGCGAACATCCGCTCACAGGTGTGCTGCATCCACTCTTCCCGCCGCCTAGGCCGCTTCGGACCGGAAGCGGCAAGAAGGGAACTCAGAGCCCAGCGGATGCAGCCTTAGGTTCAGTAGCCACCCCAGGGACCCCCACCTGGCCCTCCGGAAAGTCCGAGAGGCTGTGGATGGGGCTGCGAAGTGCCGCACTGATTGGTCGGGAGAGTTTCGGGCAGCCACAGCGGCGGCCGCTGTTCTCCCTTCCCCGCTGGCGTTCACGGTCATGGCCGGAGGGTGGACCTGCGTGATTTACGAGGCGGGAGGAGAATTCGCCCTTAAAGGGGCTACCGGCCGCTGAGGCCCCACTCAGCCCCGGTTTCCCAGGCTGGTGACAATGAAGGAGGGGGGGCGCTGCAGCTCTCCATCCAACGCTTTTCTCTCTTTCCTCCACCCGCCCCCCAACATTGCCCTTTGTCTTGGGATGGCTGCCTCTGTCTCCAGGCCAGGGAGCAGCCACCGAGTACAGAGACCAGAGCAGAGGAAGGAGCACGTCCCTAGAACCGGCTCAAAGCCAGAGAGTGGCTGCTCTGACTGGGGAGGACTTTTATCTGTAGACTCCTTCAGACCCCAGCCCCAGCCCAGTAGATCTTGGGCTGGCTTGGGAGAGAGGAGAGAGGAGTGAAAGAGCCCATCAGCCTTTCAGCACTTTGTTTTAATCCTACTCCCCAAGAATCCCCCCACCAACCATCTGCTGTCCGGCCCTGGCCAGGAGCAAGAGGGGTAAGAAGCAGGGTACTGATGGGAGTTAAGTGCAGCCTGGATAGTGTGAAACTGGTCTGCTGGCTTGGAGTGTTTCCTGCCTGGAAAGAGTCTCTCCTAACAAACCCTTCAAGGGCAATTCACAGAGCCCCTCAATCTCCCAGCAGCACACAGCTTCAAGTTCCTATACAGGATTGTGCAGAGGCACCAGCAAACGCATACACACAGCTGAGCCCAGCACAGCACTGGGCTCACCCCACTCTCCCTACTGCATTTGCAAGCAGACAGCCTCATAAGTCTGCATCCAGCCCTTCAGAGTGGAGATAAAATCACAACCATCTCCAGCCCACACTGGGTATCTGACACCTGACACTTCTCCACCCATATACACTTGTTTCACCCACATACAAGTTCCCAGAAATCACTACCATTCCAGCTGTCTGCAGTCTCCTGTGGGCCTGCCCTGGGCATGAGGCACTCGCCTTCCCTGGTCACCCACTGTACCCCTTCATGCAGCCCTTCCTGTGACCCGGCAGGCTCTAAGGTGATGGATTTGAGCTCTACCTCCCAGGCCTGACTCCCACAGCCTACTAGAGAAGACAGACCAGAACACTCCAGAAGGAGTGGGGGGACAAACATATGCAATATTCTCTTCCCATCACTTTAAACTTGACTTCCCTGAGCTTCTCTGTCAATCTGTATCCTGTTCTCTGTGTCTGTCGCTAGTACCTAGTGTAGTCCCTATGGGTAGCTACCCTTCCCCCAGCTCTCTGTAGTGTACCCTACTATTCAAATATCTGTCTTTAGCACGTTTTTCCTTCATATAGCCCTTGTACAGAGTTGCTTAATCATATTAATATTGATAATAATAATAATTAAAACATGGATGTATGATGATGTGATTTTTTTTTTAGAACAAAAATTCTATCAAAAAAGAATGGGGGCCCCAGACTCCTAGCTGTTCTCCACTTTATTTTCTCCAGATCAGGTGAATAATAAAAATAATAAATGTATAATAACAAAGGAAGAGTGGTTGCAGGGGTAACAAAAATATATGAGCAGCGAGGATCTGTTGATGAGCTGTCATCTCCAGTCCCAAGCAATAGCAGAGAGAAAATTGGGAGGCTGTAGAATGCGGGGAGGAAAGGAGCTCTGAGGAGTCATGGGGCCATAAAAATAATGTGGACAGCCCAGAGGAGGCTGAAACCAGCTTCAGAAAACCTGCAGGAACTTGAAGAACAGAAGCTGAGGTGGGCACTGGTGGTCTGAGCTGGGACATGTGGGGGAGGGCAGTGAGAATGATCTGGAAGCTGGGATGGGGTAGGATTGGTGGGTGCAGAGCTTCAACTCTGTGGTCCTACCCTGTGGGCTTCACTCTGAGAGGACATTTTGTGTGCTGCAAGATGTTGAAATGGGACTAAAGATCCCTTGCAACTGGTGAAATAAGGTTCCATCTCTCCAAGGCAGTGTCCCCCTCCAGGCCATGCCAGAGTCACCCAGGTCTAGGCCAATGATAGAGTCAGTCCCACTATGTCCATGAGCCCTCTGCACCTCCACCCACCAGGGCCTTCCGTAAGAAATGCCCTCTCTTCCGCGACCCCTTTGCTTTCTGCCCCACCCCCCACCACTTACCCTTGCTAGCTGTCTGGCTCCAGTCTAGGGAGTCTCCTCCAAATTCCTCTTCCACCATCCCAAGCCCATGGTGGAATACCAGGGGCCCCCACTGAGTCCAGCCTCTGAGCCACACCTCCTGCCCTGAAATCTTTCTTTCTCTCTGTGCTTCTCTTTCCTTGTTCCTTTAATTAGAGAAACCAATGAATTTAGACCAAATCTCATTCTGCTTTTACCCTAATCCCGAGCTGCCTTGAGAAACTGAGGGATGCCAACAGGAAGGAGACCCCAAGCCTTCGGATGCTCATACAAATGCCCCTCAGAGTGCAGGAAAGGCTGAAGATGGACAGCTTGGCAGCCATGAGCTGGGGGAGGGGCCTGGTGGCTAAGCCTGGGTCTGAATAAAGGAGGGAGGGGGAAGTCTGAATCCCAGTGAATCCAGGCAAAAAGGCTATCCCATTCTTAAAACAATCTACACAGGAAGGGTCAACGATAGAGGCATTTCTGGCTAAAAATAAATGAGGGAATTTAGGGAGGCCTCGAAAAAACTGGCCCTTAATTTACTGCCTTGATTTATTCCCAGAGACCCCCTAAATTGGAGAGAGGACACCTTGTTGGGTGGGGTCTCTGTAGGCCCAGAGACTCAGTAACTGGGGACATTGTCAGAGAAAGAAAGACACTATAGCCTCCTCCTTATGGCTGAAAAACAAGTCCTTGGGTCTCCCGGCCAAAAAGGAGATCATGGTTGGAACCTCCACTCAAATACTAAGGGTGCGGCTGAGCTCTGGATCTGGGTGAGGACTGCATCTGTGTTGCAACTATTTGTCTATTTTAAGCCCCCAAACTACAATTTACTCCACTAACTTTAAGATAAGGCACCCGTTTCTCTAACTGGGTCTTGAGGAGAAAAAAAAAAAGAGGGAGAATTATCTGTATAATTGAGGTAGAAAATAATTCTGCTGTTGTGTGTGTGTAAGCATAGTATCACCCGAACGAGTTCTGTATTTGGACCTGATTATCCGCGCACTTGTTCTGCTCCACTCTGACTCCCACAGATGAAACTGGGTATTTAAAGCCACTATCGAGCGGGCAGGAGATGAGTCCGGCAGTCCGGGTTCTGTGGATGCTAATGCAGCCGGAAATCTGGTGCGATCGATGACTCAGACCCAGAGCGGAGCAGGGACCCGCTGCCCCTATGCGCGAACAAAGCAAACCCCGGGGACTTTGGGTTCCGGCGAGGCCTGAGCCCCCGCCCACCCCCCCGCCCCCGCCATGTCCAGGAAAGCAGGAGCGGTTTTTAGGCCCCAGGCCGCGCGGGAAACGCAACCTGGAGCCGCCAACCCTCTCTGCAGGCGGGCACCTGGAGGCGCAGAAGGTTCCGGTGCAATTCAGCGTGAGGTGGAACGCAGGCCGGCGCGCACGGCCGCGCAAATGCCGAGCCTTAGGTCCGAGCGGCCGCCCTTCTGTGTCTGCTTCGGTCGAGACCGAGTTGCTGGTTCTCTGCGGAGAGGCCTGAGGCCCGCGCCCGCCGCCCCAGGACTCCCCCCAGCTTCGCCAGCCCCTCACCGCTGCACCCCACGCTGGGCTCGCGGTTGCCGCTCTAGGGGAGGCCCCGAGACAAAGAAGCGCCGGCCACTGGTGGATGACGCGGGAGCCTGGGCCGCTCCCCAACTCCCGCCTGGAGCCCTCAGTGCCCCGGCCGGTCGGGTATAGAGGGCTGTTGAGACCTCGGTCCAGTTCCCTGTCCGTCCTGGTCCCAGCCACGGTCCGCTCCATGGTCCCAGGGAGAGGAAATCCAGTGCGCCCACAGGCCGGGCTGACCCCTGCTGCAGCTCCCGCCCGGCCTCGCCGGTGGCTCTGCTGGGCCCCCGCAAAGGATGAGATGACCCCTGCTG